TGGAGGCGATTGCGCGGCAGCGGCGGCGGCCGGTCTGGATCCTCCCGGGAACAGCGCTCCTCCTCGCAGAGGCGGCCGCGCGCCTCGGCGCCCAGGTCGTAGAAGCGCACCTCTTCCACGAAGAGGCCGTGGGGCACCACGGAGGGCCGGTGGAGGCTGCCGCCCGACTGGAAGTAGAAGAGGATCGCGCCGAAGCTGTCGCGGTTGCGATCGAAGAAGTACTCGTCGCGCAGCGGGTCGAAGAATCGCAGGAGGCGAGAGGCGTCGCCCAGGAGCGTGCGGGGGAAGCGCTCCAAGGTGCTGCGACGCGTCTCGAACCTCAGCCCCGACACGTTGATGGACACGCGCTCGCTCCAAGCCGCCACGGGCAGCTCCTGGCCCTGCTGCTGATGATGATGGTGCTGATGTTGTTGTTGTTGGGGATACTGGTGGTGGTGGTGATGGCTGGGCAGGTCGTGCGTGGTGAAGAGCGTGTAGCTGCTGCCGCTGCCGCTCTCCGTGGCGGGTTGTGGCGATGCGCAGCCGCGTCTCATGGCGAGCTCCGCGACGCTGGCGCTGGACATTTGCGGCCACTTACACCTCTCTCTCTCTTTCTTTCTCGAGATGATGATGATGGTTTATTCTCTACCCCATCTGCTCTCTTCAGGAAGCGCGCTGCTGCCACAGTGACCGAAACGTCGAACCTGTTCCATATCTAACGCGAGCGCCAACACCACCACCAACAACCACCACGACCACCACCACCACGACCACGCGTGGATGTGACCGCGTAACGAGCAATCACAGATCTCTCTCCTCTCTCCTCGATCGCCACCGACCACCCCGAATCGTCCGAACCGCCGACTCACCGCCTCCCCCACCCTCACCACCCACACCACCACCACCACACAGCTTCATCCGAGTCGTGTCCGCCTCATTAATTCGTGATGAGCTTCCATCGTGAAGCACTCAGCGGCGAATCTCCACCCACCACCCCCTCCTTATCCTCCTCCTCAAGCCGCGCTGGGGTGCTGGTGGTGGTGGCGGGGCTCACGTTCCATTAAAATCTCCTGGCTTCTCTTGCGTCCCATTAGCGAAGCATCAATTGATCGGCGTCTAAAGAGGCGCGCGATATACCGGCAGCAGCAGCAGCGGTAGCAGCAGCAGTAGCAGCAGCAGTAGCAGTAGTAGCAGCAGTAGTAGTAGCAGCAGCAGTAGCAGCAGCGGCAGCAGTGGTAGCAGCAGTAGCAGCAGTAGTAGTAGCAGCAGCAGTAGCAGCAGCGGCAGCAGCGGTAGCAGCAGTAGCAGCAGTAGCGGCAGTAGCAGCACGGTAGCAGCAGCAGTAGCAGTAGTAGCAGCACGGTAGCAGCAGCAGCAGCGGCAGCAGCGGTAGCAGCAGTAGTAGTAGCAGCAGCAGTAGCAGCAGCAGTAGTAGCAGTAGTAGCAGCAGCGGTAGCAGCAGCGGTAGCAGCAGTAGTAGTAGCAGCAGCAGTAGCAGCAGCGGCAGCAGTGGTAGCAGCAGTAGCAGCAGTAGCGGCAGTAGCAGCAGCAGTGGCAACAGCAGCAGCAGCAGCGGTAGCAGCGAGGGGTCACCGAGGCCGTGTCCAGCGAGGAGCTGGGCAGAAATCATCCGACCGCAGCGATGGTTACGGCACCACCACGGACCCTACTGAGTACTCGTAGTGATACAAATAGTAATAATAGTAGTAATCAACACAGCAATGGGTACACTACTATTACCACTATAATACTACCAATACACATACATGATTACACTACTACCACGACAATCATCATAATACACAATGGGTACACTAATATTACAACTACAATACTACTAATACACATACATGGTTACACTACTATTACAACTACAATACTACCAATACACATACCCGGTTACACTACTACCACGACAATCCTAATAATACACAATGGGTACACTAATATTACAACTACAATACTACTAATACACATACATGGTTACACTACTACCACGACAATCCTAATAATACACAATGGGTACACTACTATTACCACTACAATACTACTAATACACATACATGGTTACACTACTACCATGACAATCCTAATAATAATAAACACAGCAATGGGTACACTAATATTACCACTATAATAATCCACATACATGGTTACACTACCACCACTACAATCCTAATAATACACAATGGGTACACTAATATTACCACTATAATAATCCACATACATGGTTACACTACTACCACTACAATCATCATAATAATACACAATAGTTACACGAATATTACCACTATAATACTAACAATAAACACAGCAATGGTCACACTACTGCTACGACTGCAATTATAACACAGCAACAATGACAGTGAGGGAGATGTTAACTACCTCGCCTGGCCTACAGGAGGCCGGTGGGTTCGATCCCGACCCTGACGCCTGCTGCTGCTGTATATTTGGAGTTTGCGTGTCTCTTTCTCTCCGTGTTCGCGTGGATTTTTCTCCGGGTACTGTGGTTTTCCCCCTTCAAATTTGGAATCAACATCACGCTCTAAGAGTAGTTGGCTGCTGCTATGAATCTCCACGTGGTGATGGTGGTGATGATGATGATGATCCACCACTTCGTTGAGGCTGCCATTTGTGATGGGCAGGTCGCTTCTGAAAAAAACATCTACACGGCTCAGTGGAGCCTCACCTGGGACAATAAAACAAGTTGATTGTTTGGTTTGACGATGTTGATGATGTTGATGTTGTTGTTGTTGAAGCTTGGAATGTCAAAGCGAGGAAGAGGAGGAGGAGGAGTGAAAGCCAGGAGGCGGTGATGCTCACTCCAGGGAATATTTGTGTCTCGATAGGGCTGAATGAATAATCGATTTCAATTCGAAATCGCAATTTGAAACAATGCGATTATCAAATCGCAAATGCTGCGATTTTTTGCAATTTGAAAAGTCCTAAAACTTTCTTATTGGAATATTATTATTTGAACTTTATCTAACTTAACAATTGTTCTATGTTTGATTGTTCTATTTCAATGAAAACATTTTTAATAAATACACGTTGGAAGCAATTCATATTTTTTAAGTGCTCATCCTTGCATTAGAATATTTTAGAGCAATTGATATTTCATGGTATCACGTGGTAATGTTCCACCACATGTTTGAAATCTATTCCACAGGGAATATTGAACTGAAGCTTAACTTGAAAATGTTTAATCGCAAATCGCATTATCTGTCAGAAACATCGCCATGAGACATTCCCGCCCAAATCGTTGAGCCCTCGCCTCGAGCACAAGACATCTGGTTCCAGATGTCTTGTGACCCCCCCCCCCTTTACAATTAAATCTCTAAAACGAAATGTATATATTGTAAGACATTTGTATTTAAAACAGAAGGGAATGTAAATGTTGATTTAAAGCTTTCGTGACTGCAGGGATTCATGTTCGTGGTTCTTTCGGTAAAGTCACGTAGAAGGGAAATAATAAAATAATAAAAAATATAAAACAATAACAATTCTCACGACGT